AAATTTCAGCTTTCTAGCTTTTCTGGTTCTCGAGTTAGCGATTTTCCCGCCACAACTTTGAGGCGCGCATACGCGGACGTGCTTGAGGACTGGTACCGCGGTCCTGAGATGGCACTTGGCTATGGAACCCACTCGCAAAATTTTGGCGCCGGAGCTTGCTTGAGTACCGAGTTGGAATACAGCCTGGTTGTCGAGTTGTGTGTGTGAGTGTGTGTGTGCGTCTGTCCGGTATTTCAATCCGGACAAACGCACGCACACACATACGCACACACACACACATACACACAAACCGGGGTCATCACAATATGTGTTTTTGCATATTATGCAAAAATGCATAACCTGTGTATCTAACAAATAAACAGCTGAAAAAATCTCCATCCTAATTGTAAGTTTGGTGTCCCAGATAGATGTTCCCTGATGGCCATATTTCTTAATCCTTGAATTCATCTTCCAACAAAAATGCCATGTTATCGGCGTGTCGATTTTGCGCTCCTTTATGCTTTTGGGGCATTAAATCAGCAAAAAATCAGGATAAATCGAATACGAGTAAATCCTTCACTGTAGTTAACAAGGTGCTAAGATAAGTGAGGAGCTAAGAAAAGGGATATTACAGCTATGGAAAGAAAAAACAGTCACAAATAAAAGCGTATTTTCGTAGAATACCGAAATTCATGCTTTGGAACATTAAATCTGCGCGAAATCAGGATAAATCGAATTCGAGTAAATCCTTCACTGTAGTTAACAAGGTGCTAAGATAAGTGAGGAGCCAAGAAAAGGGATATTATAGCTATGTAAAGAAAAAACAGTCACAAATAAAAGCGTATATTCGTAGAGTACCGAAATTCATGCTTTGGGGCATTAAATCTGCGCAAAATCAGGATAAATCGAATTCGAATAAATCCTTCACTGTAGTTAAAAAGGTGATAAGTGAGGAGCTAAGAAAAGAGATATTACATCTATGGAAAGAAAAAACAGTCACAAATAAAGGCGTATATTCGTAAAGTACCGAGATTCAAGAAACTTTTGGTCCCGAAGCGATTGTTTGCAGCGATCTTTTACCGCAAACTGACACCGAACCCGTTACAGTGGCAAAATGACACTGAACCTGTGCGACTCGTCATGGAAAATGCAGTTTTTGGCTTGATATCCGTGCTTTTTTTAGGTTTGTTTGAACATGATTGCAGGAATATACCATTGGAATTGTGTCAGGGATGTTCTAGGAAGTGTCAGTTTTCGTGCTAACATCAGCGCTTCTACAAAGATTGTGTCATTCGGCAACGCTTTGGTGCGCAAGCTCAGGCAGTAGATTGTGGCACATTTGGCCACAGTCACTGATCAAAATAGACGTAACTGTCAACTTCTTCCAATGCCAAGAATGCATAACCCTGATAAAATAATGACTTTTGAGGGTAATTGTTAAGTAATAATTAGGAAAATAGGCGTAAATGAAGATGGGGGAGGTTTGTATGTCATATATTTTATCAGCGGGACATCTCCTAAGTCGATCCACTACTATGTGGTTGCAGCTTTTTTCGTTGTTTTGGCTAGTGCTGCAGCACCTAGTAGGCAGCCTGATACCGACCCCGGCGTTCCTTGCCGCTCTTGAAGGGAACGATTCTTCGGATGGCACGCATTTCCGCAGGGTTTGGGCCGTTCCAAGATGTTTGTGGCGTATGTTGAGCATCACTTCTCATCATTCTGGACTTCGGCAGTTCCTCCGGGTCATGATGGTATTTTGCCGTCGAATGGGGGATATGAAGAAGGTAGGCATACGTAGAAATTCGGGTATTCGAGCAAAAACAGCAAAAGATTTTTATTAAATTTTACTTTTTCGGAACATGTATTATTAGTTTGTATTGTTTATGAAAATTCACATTGCTAGCTCCTACGGCATGAGGAGCGCGCTGAGTTGTATTCGTGTAGATTGTTGATCATTTGATTTACGCCTATGATCAAATATAGCTATGCTTCAAGCAAAGAGCTCAATTTTCTTATTTTAATACACCAAATTCAAGAAAACAACGAAATTAACGTAACTCAATGGTACACGTAACTCAACCCCGAAGCCCAAGCACTCCAAAGAATTTTGCAGTTGTCGGCTCCCGACATCCGCAAGCAATCTTCTTATCCTCGCTCAATCCGCCCTGTGAAGTCGTAGCCTTCTCCCACAGTAACCGTCGTCTCCCAGTGCCCCCTGTTTTAGGAATAACTGCTTTTCCTACCCCAAAAATCCTTGCTCCCTCTCCCCCCTTATGGTCCCCTTTTGCATATTTTTTATATACACACAAAAGAACAAAATGAAATATTCTAAAACAAATTTTTGTCTATCACTTCTCGTGTTTTGACACGACAAAGACAGTTTGTTTTCTGAATAATCAACGCTGAATTTGCAGCAGAATGGGTACATTGAGTGTGCAGCCGCCGACCGGTTCGATGAGAAACCTCACCGAAGTGTTCATTCTGCTACGCAACAATGCACAGCAAAACAAATTCATCTATGCCAATAGTATTGGCGGCAGCACTGCTGGTCAGCTTTTTATGCGTTTTTTTTTTTTTGCATCTATGCAATGCAGAAAACGCATATTGCCGAGGGGTTGTCTGTGTGTCCGTGTGTCTGTACCGATTTTTCATCTCGACATATACTAAGGCTACAAGAAAACTTAATCTCCATGCATATATAGGCTCCTGTCCCCCAGAATGGAGACTCTTGTCTCTTCCATGTTAATGATATTGCAATTTAGTAATATCCCTAGCTACAAACAGGCAATTTATAAGTTGCATATCACTGAGCAAAAATGATACATTTGCAGATGAGCGAATGTCGCTGGTTGCACTGGACGAGGAAGCGGCAACGGCTCATGCGTCCGGATATAATCGTATGCCTCCCGAATGGGTCAATTATCTGGATGAAGCACAATACGAACTTACAAGGTTTGCCGATTTTCTTTTTTTTGCTCTTCTGATTTTCCGAATTTTTCCATTGATTTGGATATGAATTGCAGAATCCGTTCTCGATTGAAACAGATCCGGGAGATGCAGCAAAATTTCATGTCGAAGCCGAGTTTTGTTGAGGATTTGGATGCGCAGAAAGCGATGGATACAAGTACTAGTGAGGTTACTCGAATGTTTTCACACTGTCAACGCTTGATCAGGTCCTCTCACATGTGACGTTACAGTTGTGTTTTTGCGTTTTATGTTGTGTGTGGTAGCTTTCTTGAGAAATTTTTTCATGGATCAGTAAAGAAAAAACAAAAAACGTAAAAAAAAAAAACAAAAAGAAATTGTACAAAACAATTCATTGCTTTTACGAATGAAATTGAAAATTCCTGATTTAATGCGCGCTAAGATAGAGATTTATTATTGTTATTATTATCATTATTATTATTGTCATTATCATCATTATCATTATTATTTTATTACTATTACTGTTGCCATTTATTGTTATTATCGTCATTATTATCATTATTGCTATTTATTATTATTATTGTTATTATTATTATTGTTACTATTATTATTATTATTCTTGTGTGACTCATGTCTTTTTCCAGCTTTATCGAAAAAGCGGATGTTCCACAGTACACACAGCAGTGGCACTTACGTGCCAATGTGCTTTCAACGTTGCGGTTGATACTTAGCAATTTGGCCGGGGATTTTCGAACGAGTCAAGCGAAATTCCTGAAACAGATTGAGGCACGCAAAGAAACCGTCAACTCGTATCTGCTTGCTTCGAGTGATTGGGTGAACACCGAAGTGCTCGACGACGCACCGGTGGATGAATCAAGTGATGGTACATTTTAAGTCAGTTGGCGTAATGTTGTACATCAGAGTTCCTCTGTTTTGCTTTGAAAAGATGCGAAAATTGTTCGTTTTTGGAAAAAAAAGCAAACACGCTGAATTAGGGGCACGTGGACGGAAAAAAACTTGGAAAATTTGGCCGGTAATTTTGCAAAGTTTGTTTTAAATGTGGCATTTAAATCGTCTAAAGTGTAAAAATGAGTTAAAAAATGAATAATAATTTTCAAAAATCACAACATTTTCGTGCTGTGTCATTGGTGGTCAAATTTTTATGTTTCTATCTATCGCTGATTTTATAATTTGTGCGAAAGCTGTCCAAAATCCCAAAATCCAGCCGGGATTTTTGGTTGAGACACCGTTTGCAAGTCGCGATCCGTGAGATAACTGTAAACCCCGTTGCAAAATTTTGTTTATTTTCAGCCTTTAGAGTTGCTTCCAGTTTCAGGTCTCACAATGGAACAAATACAGCTGCTACTGCAAAATGCAGATATGGTGAAGGAACGTGAACGAGACGTGATGAGCGTGAGCAAATCGATTGTTGAGCTAAATTCGTTGTTCAAGGACCTCGCTTCAATGGTTGTCGATCAGGTGCGCATTCATTATTGAACAGCAGAAAATGCTACTGATACTAGTGATTCTTGGTTTCAATCTAATGCATTTCATAGTCGAGTTTAACAATGTTACACTGCTTCGTAGTCAGCGTACTAGTAATTCTGACGTTCGTTTTTATGCGTTTTTTTTTTTTTGCATTTTATGCATATTGGCGAGCG